GCAAAAGTTGGCTTGAAACTCAGCATTAAGAAAACTAAGATCATGGCATCCGGTCCTCTCACTTCCTGGCAAATAGATGGGGAACAAATGGAGGTAGTGACAGATTTTATTTCCCTGGGCTCCAAGATCATCGCAGATGGGGACCACAGCCAAGAAATTAAAAGGTGCTTGCTCCTTGGGAGGAAAGCTATGGCAAATCTAGACAGCATACTAAAAAGCAGAGACATCACCCTGCCAACAAAAGTACGTATAGTCAAGGCTATGGTTTTCCCAGTTGCAATGTATGGCAGTGAAAGCTGGACCATAAGGAAGGCTGAGCCCCAAGTAATTGAGGCCTTTGAATTGTGGTGCTGGAGGAGACTCCTTCAAGTCCCTTGGACCGCAAGGGTATCCAACCGGTCAGTCCTAGAGGAGGTCAACCCTGACTGCTCTTTAGAAGGCCAGATATTGAAGATGAAACTCAAATACTTTGGCATCTAACGAGAAGGAAGGACTCCCTGGAGAAGAGCCTAATTCTGGGAACAACAGATGGCAAAAGAAGAAGGGGATGGCAGAGGATGAGGTGGCTAGAAGGAGTCATTGAAGCAGTTGGTGTGAGCTAAGTGGACTCCGGGGGATGGTGGAGGACAGGAAGGCCTGGAGGAATGTTGTCCATGAGGTCGTGATGGGTCGGACACGACTTCGCAACTAACAACAACAACTATAGCAAGGTGCTATTTAGAGGTTATTGCAACAGAAAAGCAGGAAAAGAAATGCTCCTTGTGTATAATTCAGTTCTACAATGAAACTAAAAGTAGTGATTAAATAAAGCTTCATGCAGAAAAGTTCAAACACATCTGGAGGATACCAGGCTGGGGAAGGCTGATTTAAAGCTTAAAAAAAAAAAAGAATTATTGCAAAGGCCCAATTGCTCTGTTTTCCTGGGAACTAACTCCAGAGCAAAAGAAAAGAATGGGGGACCTGTCAGGCTAAATTGTTCCCAGACTGGTGATTAGGCAAGAGCATGAATACAATTGTCCATCATGTTCACTATTCAGAGGTAGATTGACCCAAATTATGCAGGCACCATTCCACTATCAAGGCTATGAAGTATGAAAATTCCTCTTACCTGAAGGTATCATCACCACCACTAGTCTATATTACATAGCTATCCTACATTACTTTCTCTTGCATCAAACCCAAGATGCCTTATAGGTTTTCCTCCTTCATTATAACCTTAAAACAAGAACCCTGTGAGGTAGATTGTCTGGGAATCTGCAACTGGCCCAAAGTCTCTAGGTGAGTTTCATAGCTGAGTAGGGACTGGAACCCAAATCTCTGGAATCCCAATCTAGTGCTCTTAACCACTAGACCACCCTGGCTCTCAGTCCCCTTGCCAGCCATCTATGCCAGTGGCTGTTCTCAACATCTTGGGCAACAAATTCAATACACTGTATGTAGTTTCTGAAAGTATTTCCTTCGCCTTTCCTAAATTGGTGAAATTTAGTTTCAATTGGTGCTTCCAAGCAATCACAATACCACCTGTAAGACCATAATACTAGGGCCAGTTTCCAGCTATAGCTGTCCTTCCATCAGGTATCTATCACCTGGGTCTTATATAAATGCCCTGCGCAAAAGTCCCATGGACTGTCATTGTGCACTATTTTTGATGTGCTATAAGAAATTTCTGTGACTGCCAGAAAGATGAATTATGTGGATCCTAGATCAAACCAAGCCAGAGCTTTTGCTAGAAACAAAAAAGACAAAGCTGAGGATGTTGTAATTTGAACACATCAAGGTGAGGCAAAACTTCCTTACAAAAACAGTCATCCTAGGGAAAGGTCAAGAGCAGGAAAAGAAAGGAAGACCAATTACAAGATGAATTGATGCCATAAAGGAAGCTACAGTTTGGAATGTACATGGGCTTAACAGGGCTATAATGGAAAGTAGAAATTGGAGAGCTTTGGCACATTGCAGCAGTGTTATCAATTTACCCCTGCCCTAAACAAAAGTAGTTGTGTTATGCATAAAGACCCATTTAAATTGATAAATGTTACAAATGTTAATCAGGTGGTATTTGTGTTCCAGCAAAATTTGTTTACAACAAACCATTAAAACACAAACTAAAATGCACTGCAGAATAAAAAACGGGTGGGGGTGGAAATTGACACATTAAAAAAAATAAAGCCACACTTTAAACACATTTATAGTTGCTCCCTCCCATCAGGTCACTTCCAACTTATGGTGACCCTATGAGTGAGTGCCTCCAAAGTTTCCTCCCCTTGACAGCTCTGCTCAACTCGTGAACTCAAGGCTGTGGCTTTCTTTAATGGAATGGATCCAGCTTCTGCCTCCAACTTTCCCTAGCATGTCTTCTGCAGTGACTCTTACCTTCCCTTGATGTACCTGAACTACAACAGGTTCAATGCTGTTACGTCCACTTCTGGCTTGACTTGATCGAAGATGTACTCGTTCATTTTAAATACTGTGTGGAGGAAGTACTCTCAGTGTTCTCCCTAAATGATGGCCCTGGCTTATTTACTCAGTTACAGTACTCAGGTGTTCCTGACTATTAATGTCCTCCTTCCTTGGAGACTCAACAAAGCCTGAAGCAGTGCAACATCCCAAAATGTGTGAGCCCTTTTGAAGGATTCAAACTGAGCCTTGGTCGTTAGGGAGAATATAATACAACGCATCCGTATGACAGAACCGTGCGTGTGTAACGGCGATTCACTGCGTTTCATGTGGTTCACAACGAAAACAGACACCTCTCTGCCCCCAAGCAGTTTAAACACAACTGCTGCTGGTGACAGTTTGGAAATGAGGATGATTACATGGGTCAAGCGGGCTCGCATTATGCCTGTTCAGAGCCAGCAGTTCTATTATTACGCTAACAATCATATGCAGCCCATTCTGGGCAGGAGGCGACCTACACGTTCAGCCGCAGATACGGGCGCTCGGGGACCGGCGCTCAGCAGCCGCTCAAGGGCACTCGCGACTTCCTGGCCCGGAGTCTGGATACGGAATCCGAGGGGTACCAGGAGAACGCGCGGCCCTCCGTCAGACGCAGCGCCTTTGTCTCGCTCCTGAAGAGAGAGCGGGGAGGGCGCCCAGCCTCCAGGAAAGGTCCGGATGCAATGACTTCAGAAGCGGGGCCTCCACGCCCCTTTTCTTTGTAGAGGACTAGCGCCGCTCCCCCATTGGCTGGGAGAATCGAGGCTGGTGTCTCTTTAAACCGCCTCTTAGTGCTGCATCCTGCCCGTGTTGCAGGAAGTGGCATTGATTAGAAAGAAAAAAAGCCAGAAAGAAAGCAGTAACAAGCTGCTTCTCAGCTGATCAGCTCATGATGGGAGGCGGAAGTACCTCCTAACCACGGACGCTTTGCACACAAACGGTGTTGCCCATTCAGTTGCCGCTGCGCCTGATTGCAGGCAAGAAAGGGGGCGGTTGGGCTAATTTCTTGCTTTTTGCAATTATTTTAAAGGGCCTACCCCTGCACCGCTTCCCTTAATTGCTATGCTGGAGTACTTTGATCGGAGAAGAAATAGCTAGCCGATCGTGTCTGCACCCCAGTCCCGTATAGTAGTGCTCATCTTCAAAAGGTAGTTAAAAAAAAAAACCTTTAATTTAAAGAACTGTATAGCAGCATAGCAACCCTCAGCCTCGCTTTATCTCGCCATTCTTTATTTTTATTACGGAAAAGGACAAATTAATGTTTTCCAGCATCGGGAGAGGAGAGAGGAAGGGGAAGTCGTGCAGCCGCCGCCTGTCTGGCTCTGTCTTCCCAGGCAGTCTGAGATGAAATTATTTTCGGGGGCGTTGGCATGGCATCCTTAAAGACTTTCGGGCAGGCTGGACAGAGCGATGCCGAGGAGAATGGAGGGGACCTGGATCGATCGCTCCAACAGATGCTAAGGGCGATAGTGGAGGAGAGGAACCGTATTACCATCCGTCACGAGATCAGTGGGCTTGGTGAGTGGGCGGTGGCTTTTCGGGTGCGGGGTGGGGGGCCAGGACCACTGCAGGTTCCTTAACAAATGAGAGATCTCTGCCCCGATGCAGTAACGTAGCGGAGCACGATGCTGACATGGAACGGTTTTAAAGTGTTTCTCTTTGTCTGAGGCTTCCCTCCTTTTAAAACGGGCCCGGCTCTTGTCTTTAAGAGTGCGTTCTGCTATACACAGAAACTTGGTAGCGAAGCTTGATCATGTTATGGTCGTAAAGGGAGGGAGTGGGGGACTTTATTACGTTTTTTGTGTGCTAGAGCAGAAGCAAGATTAGCTTTTTAAAATAGTGTACCGGGTTTCTTCAGACTTATAGCTTTTATGGTGAACAGATGTTTGATTTATAGAAAAAGAAATACAAGTGCCCGAGTCTGTCAAGTACCAGTACTCAACACCATCCTTTCATATGGAAGTGCTTTCCCTGATAGGGGGATCCCCAGTGCACTCTGTGCCTGCTTAAGGGCATGAAAATTTTTCCTAATTCATATGTGTTGGAGGTTAAACTAGCATTAGAAACAGTCTACAGACATTATTCCTGATACAAAGGAGAACCATGCAGCTTGTACTTCCTTTTTATTTTTGAAATTTGTTGGGGATTTAAAAAAAATCTTAAAAATTTCAGCAAATCTTGCTTTATGGCAAAGTGCTGCTTCCCAAATTTTCTGCACAGCTGATAAAGGTTCAGCCACACTTTCCATCTCTTTTTCTATGAGGTTTAAGTTGCCTGTATCCAGTATGCCTGTTTATCAAGTTCATTTTTTTCCCTTCAGGGTCAATTAATTCTTTCTAATGACCACCACTTGTAAGCTATCTGCAGTTGTTAACAACTGCTAGAATATCCACTCTCCTAAAGTGTGGGTTGAAAGGAAAAAGGTGAAATCTATTCTGTAGCTGTTGGCAATTAGTGAATGACAGTAATAAGTGCTAAGTAACCCATATGAAATACTTTTAAGTATGTAAACTTGATAAGTTTTCAGTGTGCTAAGTGAATCTTAGGAACCCAGTGTTTGTCCAGAAATGGCTACCAGGCCTAATAGTTTGCAAGTCTGGGGTTTCAGTATTATTCACAGCTTCTCTATTCCCAGTGATACTTTTTGCAGTACAGCAGTATGTGAATCACTCAAAGCCTTTGAGTTGTGCTGGCAACCCTAGATGTGAAGCAAAGTTTGTTTTATTTGCCCATGCTGTGATCAGGTGCTTATTCTTTGGAGGGCTCAAATGGGCATTTCACCCATGGCAAGGAAGAATTCTCTCCAGTAAGCAAGACCTATGTAAACTGTGAGGGACTTGTGGTTTTTCTTTTCCTTTCAGTCTGTCTTTCTGTCCTGATGGCCTGCATTAGTATGTTCGAGCTACTAAACATTTTGCTGGGCTAGTAACCAGGATGAGAGAGAGAGATGGAAGGAGACAGCCAAGGAGATAGGAAATGGTATAGCTATGTCATTCCGATGGCTTACTGGAAAGCACTGCAGTATGGTACTTCAACTAAAATCCACACAGCTTGATTTTTACCCTTTTGTTACCACTGTTCACTTGTACTGACTCCACATAACTTGTATTTCTCCTTTTCAATATCCTTTTCATCTTGTCATGAAATATCCTGTCTTGTCATGCTGATTGCCATAATATATGGTGCATGGGTCCTATTGTCAAAATAGCTTGGGAGCAGGTACAATTTGTATGTGTGGACTGTCTTACAGCAGAGATCTTGCATCATGTTGAAATGATTCATTGCCATCTGTGAGGGAATTTGTTAAAGTACCATTGACTTCATTTCTTTGGGGAAGAACCCACAAATGGAATCTTTACGCAGAGAGAATAAAGCTTGCTGAATCCTTCGGTTTCTAGAATGCAATATGGGCAAGGGGCTCTTCCCCCCTCTCCAGAAAAGATACAAGATCTTTGCACAGCAAATCGGAATCCTTTGTAGGTTGTCCCTGTGTTCATTCAACACCTGTTATACATGCTGATACTTTGTGTTGCCACAGGATCTAGTCTAATCTTGGTGTAATTGGGTTAAGAGCTTAAAGTAATCTGTTCTTTATTTTGGCCAATGCCCTTTGAAGAAATTGGTCAACCTCATAGCAGCATTCTTTCTTTATACCCAGGCTTTATAAATAAGTTGTTGTAGAAGACCAGTAATGGCAGGCAAGCAAACTTGAAAAGAGAGCTTGCCTACCCTTCTGATATTCACATGCAGTGGGCAAAGTTTGGTGAGTTCTGGGCCCTTAATATTCACAGAAGTTGACAGTGAGGCCCCATAACCTACATGAGATGAGTGTGTGCCCTAGAATGCTTCCCAGAATGTTTGGTCATTTCTAGGCAGCCTTTCATAGAGTGATTTGTTTGGAAGGTATTGGCCAAAGGTTGAAAATTTGAAAACCAGTGATATAGAAAATCAGTTTGTCTAATGTTTCTGCAACAGTGTTTTATTTTAACACTAGAGGAGCAGTCTGTCTGTGGTTGGCAACTTTTTAAAAATATGTGCTTACTACATGTGCAAATATTTTCATAATTTAAAAAATCAGCCATACTCATGCAACCATGATCTACTTTTGATGTGAAAAATGGAAGCCTCAGCTGGGCAATGCCCTGGGGGTACCTTATGTCAAAGTGCAGCAGCCCCCAACACCTGACATTGACCCAGCAAAGCGTCAAGTAGGCCTTAAAAAACAAAAACAAAACAAGTGTCCAAAGGCAAGCTGTCAAAGGGGATGCAAAACTGAAAAGTGCAAAAGTACATCCTACTTACCTTCTGGGAGAAAGCTATTTTGACAGCTAGCTGTCAAACTCTGTCTCCTTTTTGACAGGGTTAGGGTTGACAGGACAATGGGCATTTTTGGCAGGGACATGTATCTCTCCTTGCAACTTATTTTCCCTTGACAGCTCAGTTTTGACAGCTCTTAAGAGAAGCAAGTAAAAAAGCCTTGGTCAACATGGGTGCAAAAAAAGAATAATAAGAACAGTTGGCTGCCAGGAACTGCCCCCTCCTGTGTATTGCTTCAAGGGATTGCTAGGGGGTGTCAAACTGGAAATATTTCTGAACAGGGATGAGCATTGGTGTGCATAAACAGCTTGCAGTAGCAGTGGAGGACACCCAGCCTATGACAGTTGCCCCAAAGTGCTGTTTTGGCAATTGTGGCATAGCTAGTGAGGCTCGCTTACCACTTCACTGGCATTTCTCTTCACCTATGATGGGAATTGTAATTTTTGCATTTTAACTTATGTTTGTATTTTTAATTTAATGTTATAATTATTTTTTAACTTAATGTTGTAAGCCGCCCCGAGGCTTCGACGAATGGGGCGGCATAAAAATGTTTTAATAAATAAATAAATAAAATGATAGACTAACTCATTCTGAATGAAACAGAAAAAGGCATGGGTTGTCAGGGTGGCTTGTTGCCCATGAACAAACCACCCTGCAAGAAATAATATGGGTTAACAGGATACAATAATCCATGGTGACTTGTTCTTGTGTGAACCCTGTCCCTTTCTGACCAGTGGTAATGGTTCTTCCTGCAACGGTAATTTTAAGATAACATCCTAGCTTACCTTTCAGTTCTTATACAGCAGTCCTTGTCCCCAACCCTGTGCCATTGTTTGCCACTGCAGTTTATTGTAAGGGCTGAGATTTCTTTTGCATATTGTGAGGAGTATAATAGGCTATGGACCTATGGTGTCTTGAACTCACATATTTGTTACATTATATGATCCTCTTTTCTTTAGCTGTTCTTCTCACCCTTACTTCTGCCCACCTCATTTGGACCCGCCATGCTCTGAATCGGGGGCTACATAGTGCCTGTCAAGATCTAAGAGCCCTGTGGAACTGTCTTTGTGTGTAAATTGATACTACATATTATTCTGTGCCTGTTTCTCATAGTGGTTCATATTAGGAACTCTGTTAAAGAGTACTAAAAATAGTAAGAAGAAATGTATGTGGCCTAATGCATTTCTTTTAAGAGCATGTTGGGAAATAACTGCTAAGGAAGCCAGTATGAGTAAGCTGGGATTCCGCATGCAGTACTGTATTTTTCACTGTCAAAGTGGCTCAGAGCATAAACTTGTTGTTGCTCTAGCTTTAGGATGGCAGTTTTCCAATGAAGGCATATATGAATCTGCATATGATTACTTGGGTCAAATATATTCAGACCTTTCTTTCAACCTATTTCTTAGACATTCAAGATCATGGTCTTCCCAAGATAGCTTCCACCATAAAAACAGTCCAGTCCAGTATCTGACAAACTATAAAAGCACCTTAACTGTAAAACAAGCCAGTTAGAATAAAATTCAATTGTAAATTAAAGTTGTATCTTAAACAGGATATGTTTATGTGTTTTTTCACCCAAAGACTGGCTTTCACCCAACTTCACATGTCATGTGGCAGATGTACATTCTGTCATTTTATTTATTTATTTATTAAAACATTTCTATGCCACCCCATTCGCCGAAGCCTCGGGGCGGCTCACAACATGAAATAAAATACAAAAATAACAATATAAAATAAATAACAATATAAAATAAATAACAATATAAAATAAGTCGCCCTGGCCAGATAAAATAAGCAAATACTGTTAACAATTAAAATGACGCTTAAATAAAAAGGTCTTCGCCTGGCGCCAAAAAACAAATAACGACGGCGCCAGGCAGACCTCTCTGGGGAGCACATTCCATAGATGGGGTGCCACCGCAGAGAAAGCCCTCCTCCGAGTACCTGCCCTCCTAATTTCTTTCACGGAGCGTTCCTGGAGAAGGGCCTCTCCCGCAGATCTCAAGGAGCGGCCGGGCATATATGGATGTAAGCGCTCCTTCAGGTAACCAGGACCCATGTCAAAGTCTGAGCTAACTATCAGCTTTACATTTTTGTTTAAACTATGTACCCAGAGAGAGGTAGCATGAAAAAGACTTAAAGTATTGTGAGAAATGAATGTTCAACTTTTATTCTATGTTTGCTGGTGGCAGGTCAAGAAC